TAATAAGTGATCATATTTATCAAGTATTAATATTATGTTTAGATATGTTGATTAGAAAACACACCTTTGCTTCCAAGGGAGGGGATGGTGTGGAGGGATCATTGGTAGTACAGTATAGTTCAGGACTGTCCCTGTAGTCRGGAATCGTCAGGACGTTGTACACCCATCTTTCAGCCTTTATATCTGCCTTTGCGTCTATTTCTTGTATGTCTCTCTCTGATGGTGAGTTGCTCAAATTGTACGAAAACCTTTCAAATATTTTTCTTAAAGGTTTTGAGTTTTTTGGACAATATTCCATGTAAGGAGAAAACAGCTGTCTGTCATCGATACACCTTGAAAAGATAAGCCATATTGAATTACTGTCATATCAGCTACCCAGSAACCCCAACAATCTTCTCTGAATTGACCCTTTTGATTTCAAAGTGGGCGAMCGCGGTTTTCTTTGACGGATGGCTCTCTTGAGCAAATTACTCGGAAGTACGAGATCCTTTGCACGATTTTGTCACATATTGTCACTGATTGAACCCACAAGAAACAACTTTTAACAACGGAYCTTTTCTTCAAACAAACCAAACGATCGTAAAAATTATCGGATGGCAAGAGGCCCTTTAAAAACAACAGCAAGCGTAAAWCTGTATGTCAAGTGATAAATAATTAAAACATGTCTGTTTATCTCAACTTGAGATATTTCCAATAATATTTAGGGATGCAGAGCGTTTCACAAGTTTGAAAAACTGCAACTTTTCAGCCTTATATTGTGTGATCTTGATGGTGTCATGTCGACAAACCATATTGCACTGTAAAATTCTCCAGTATAAGTGCCCATCGAATAGTAGGCCTTTTGCATGAAACGGTCACGAGGGTCTCAATGGGGTTAACCGTGAGCCGTGAAACGGCTGAAAAATTAGCCGTGAGTCGTGAAAATGCGAAAAAATTAGCCGTGACGCGTGAATATTTTTTTATATCGTGAATATTTTTTTATATCGTGAGTCGTGATTCAGTTTTGTCCCTCAGAAGGACAGTCAACTCCGATGTAAATTTAAAAAAATAAAAGCTTTAGAGGAGATTTTTCAAAATTTTGCCTTGCAAGAATTTTTTTCGGACCCTCCGTCCGTTCAGGAATTGTTTTCCCTAAATCTTTCACTTTTCCACCCCCACCCCCTCAAAATTCTACTGGATCGCACCTACCAACAAGGCAGTAATTGCAAGGTCCTGCAGACAGGTCAGGGCACGGACAAAATTTGACATGTGAGTGTGATGATAAAAAGTTATAATAACTAAGTGCCTATTAAGTAAAAGGGGAAACTGTGCTMCCACACTCACTATCTCTAGCACAAAACAAATTATGAAAAAGTAATGAAAAACTTATTTAAAAAATTTCTGAAAGTTATCTAGTTAACTAGCACTCATTTAGTATGTTAGTACATCGAAGACTTTGAGTGGGAGCCGATCATGTAGCCACTTCGTAAAAAAAAGTCAGTTCTCAGGAAAGTGCCAAACACAAGAGATGACAATAATTCTGCAAAAAAAAAATAATAAATAAAAAAAAAGATATAAAACAATATATAAAATAGAAGTGAAAATACACAATCAGTAAACGTCTCGTCCAGGGAATCGATCCCGCTACCGTCAAACCTACATTGGATTTACAAGCAGCGCCTTAACGCGGTGCGCCACTGGATCACTCTCATTTACATAATAATAGACCACTTGGCACTTTCACCGAATAGACTACCCCAATTTGACATTATACTTTCGATAGTTGCCTAGTTAGTGCAAGGGGTTATCCATCAGTGTCTAGGGGCCGGATAGCTTCTCCCTCACTGGCTTTTTAGTTAGCGCGAAGTTAGGACCAATTATCGGGATAGCATGGAAGAGCCGAAATCTCTAACCGGAATGTAAATCGATTCGCCGCCTCAGCTTCACAGAATGTCTCGGGGGAATCGTCCCAACCTTTTTTCGATTTTATGGTCATGGGTTCGAATCCAACCAAAGTTTTTTCTTTTTTCATATTTCTTTTTTTTCTTTTTGTTGTTGTCTTTGATTAGCTTCCTACACATTAATGATTGTTTGCAATATCTCCAGAATCATTTGGTAATTATTTCTATATATTTCTATAATGTGATATTTTAAAGCGCGCTTTCATTGGCTTCATTAAACGTATAATAGGTTTTCACAGCGCGGCGATTGCGCAACCGAGAATCAATTTTTAAACAGAGTGGCCGAGTTATGTTTTCTATTCGTACGGACATTGTATATATTCTGGAATTTTCTGTAATTAGATAAGATATCGATTTTAAAATACTATAATTAGTTATAAAAGGTTTTTTCTTTCTTAGATAGTATTTTTGGGATTTGTTTTGTACATTTTAAAACTCCCACTCATTTAGTGCCTGCGTCACGCTAAGTGTGACAAGAAACTAAATCTGCTCGATTTTAAAATACTATAATTTTGTTTAGAGTCAAATAATAATATGAATACGCTGCAAACTTCCTGATTTTACCATGCACATTTAGCCCGGCATAGAATACATCATCGCGCAAAGCGACACTTATGAAATTTCGTAAACTCCGATGTCAGACACGGAATGCAGCAATGTCACTACTATGTTCTCAATACATGCTAACACTTTTTGTATTTTTCTTGTTTATGAATTTATGATTAATCATTTTTTCGTTGAAATAGTCGCATTTCGGCTTGTTTGAAAGAGAAAATCCATGTCCGTACGAATAAGTCACGCAGTCTATTCATACGAAAAAAAGAAAAAGTAATGAAAAACGTAATTCAAAAATTTCTTAATCTAGTTAACCGTGATTCGAAAAAATTAGTCGTGAGTCGTGAAATYGYCAAATTTTTAGCCGTGAGTCGTGATGCGTACCACCCCATTGAGACACTCGGTCACCATGCTGATGTGGGGGGATGTGGCACTAGGATGTTCAAAACAAAACAAAAAGTTGATGGGCTGCGTTCCTTTTGTTTTTGATGTTGTTTACATTCTTTTACCATCCAGTATGGCGGATTTAGTATCATGTGATTAGTAGCATTAGTACCAGATTTAGTACCAGCTTTTCTTTTAGTTTTAGTAAGGACTTCACTACTACGAAAATGAGTTTGCTGACAAAAAAAAACATCCACATCCACTTATTTAACTGAGARAAGTAAATCTCTAGAACCCTAAGCCAATAGGAGCATTCCTACTTGGGTCCACATACATAAAGAGACTCTACTCTTTTGACCTCTGCCTACATTTTCCTGGCACCACAACGCCTAAAAGAGACGACGATGGTTGTTCTGTGCTCTTTAAAAACTATGGTTGAGATTAGTAGCTATTTTCTTACCCGTTTCCTTTTTCTTCCCCGTAATCACCTTCTTGCTCAGGAAAAGCCAACGAACTGTCTTTGGAACTTGATCTTTTTCGACATTCACTGCGAAAAGTACGCTTAGCTTTCTTTTGTTTCTTTGGGCGTCGTTTGCGGAACCCTTTAAATTCAGCATTTTTTGCTAGATTCATGCATGCGGCAGCTGTGCGTGGTGTTTCRCCGAGTACATGTTCTAATTCTGCCCACATATTATTAGTGTCATACTCCTTTTCTTCGCCCTCTTGCTGCTGGTTGTTGTATGTTTGAGATTCTGACAWTGCTTTTGGGTTACTGAAGAGATTTGACTGCAAAAGACAGAGGRAATAAGGGAGGAAATCTAAACCTGCTGGGACATCTATTGTCTCATTTTCGTGCTCATAATCAGTGTGTTTTTGTAACTTTTTCAATCAAATAGATGAAGATAACGAAAAAAAGAGAAAAATAAAAAATGAGACTTTAATGAGGATGCGCATTTTTCCTATGATAGATAACATGTCCGTATCTCACATTGTACGTTTGCTACTGTTAACGATGTTCAAAAGAGATGCGGTGAATTAATATTCGACTTCGTGGCGGCATTACCTGTGAGCTATCTAATAGTTTGTCTTTTCTTGGGCATTACCTGTGAGCTATCTAATAGTTTGTCTTTTCCTTTACGCTGCGCATGCTTGTTTGTCTTCCGATTAAATCTTTTTGCTTCAGTTTCAAAGTTCTCATTTGTAATCTCTTCATCTTGCTCTTTTTTCTTTTTTACTTGGCCATTTCTCCATTGTAGCAGCACTTGCCTTTTACCTGCAGGGTTTTTTTCTTTGATGTATGTTTTGTCTGGTTCTTCTTCAACTTCTTCTGTATTTCCTGCTTCCATATTCAACGTAGATCTGTTGACGTCATAATGATCTTCGCGCGCAAAGARTCATGTCGGACGTCTTGCCTTATTAAATATGCTGACATCATAATGATCTACACGCGCAAATCATGATGGATCATAGGCCGCCCAACTATTGCTTGAGAGCATAATGCGCACTTTATCGCAAAGGCGCGCCCTCTTAGGWAAATGCGGGTTACCTGTGGTATTACGTCAATGATTCCTTGCCTCGCGGGATCAAAACCTAAAAGCGTAAAGGCGTGCGCATTCGTTCTTTTCCTTCTCTTTAGCAATAGTTGGGCGGCCTATGGGTCCAGCTATTTCTCCTTCATATACAAAAGATCCAGCCAATCAGTGGTTTTAGTTTTTGTGTTTGCATCATCTAAACTAGTCAAGTACCAATCCAATCTCAGTCAGAGCCCACACTAATAAATTAGTTGTAAGGCTCAAGGTTCGAGACGGCGGCAAAAGGGATTTGAAGTTTTCCTATATTGGGTATAATTAATACATTGTTATAACAAATATGCAACCAATGGAGAACAAAGGTCAAATTGTATCTGTGTTTGGGAGGGATAGAACACACCATGGTTTGATTACACAGGAATCCCAATCATAACATGACAAGAATGTATTGGTGTAAGGGTAACAGGCTGTTATGGAGCACTAGGCTGACGTAATCTATATTAACTTAAATGAATTTAACAACATAGGTGTTACGATGAGTAGATTAGAAAAGGCCAATGCCAGACAGAAGCTGATGTATGGAGTACGAAGATCAGCAAAGACCAGACAAAGTGTAAGTCTCATGTATCCTAGCATGCCCAGCCYACCATAAACAAAACTTTGTTATGCAAGTAATGAAGCACAATTTGATTTAGTGAAAGTGCAAAAAGAGTGTAAACATGTGATAAGTAGAAATAATTCCAATGGAAGATATATTTGTAAAGTTTGAATGCTAAGTATGGTGCCATCACCCTGAGACAAGGTGTCTAAAACCAGCCAAAAGTAAACCATTTCCAGAACAGTCTGTAGCCATAAAAGGACTGAATTGGCTGTAAATTAGAATCAAGAGGTTTCTACATTTGTCAACGAAACCCAAACACTGTCTGATTGTAACATGTATAAGCCTAGCAAATTTTTAGTAAAATAGAAGAGTTCTTGTAAGAAATTTGTAAAGAGAAGACTTGAAGAGAATTAACCATTGAGGAATTAAAGACAAAGCCAGAAAAGTTGCTAAAGTTCCTATGTCATTTTACTACCACCACCAAAATGGTTTGTTACTCAGATTTTTAATCCTTTTGAGACTAGTAAAACAATTGGGACTAAACATTACAAAAGAAAGTGTGCAAAGCATCCTGAACCTTAGTTTGATAAAAAATTTTACATATTTTTGGACTCATTTTAATTWATTAAAATAAATTTACAATATTAAAACCATTTCCGAACCTTATATGTCCTCAAGATCAAATTGTTCATTACAGAGTTGTGGTTCAACAAATATGCCTCTTGCTCTGGCTTTACCCTCAATGCCTTCTATCATGTTTATTTATCTTTTCACTTAAGAAGTCACAGTGCAAAGTCATTGATTGATGTGCTAGAAATAATTCATAAATACAGTTATGCATTAAATATCATCAATAAAATACATGAAATTATGTACAATTAAGAGTTCCATGTGGAGTGCTAATGTTTACACATGTTTGAAAAACGTGGTCTTGCTCAAAAAGGTTGCATCTTTAAAGCTAAGASTGAAAGGGATCATGGGAAGGATAACAGTGTATCAGGCACTAAAATAAAACAACTTTCTCTACAGGTAATGTTAATAATATGACATGTTTAGGCAAGTTTATGAGTGCTAAAAACCCTTTCCTTGTCATTAGCTTCAATGATAYCACCTTTTTTAATTGGGTGTAAAATTGTCTATTATTATTACTGTAAGTCTGTTTCTCGGTAGTGGTGCTTCCTGACAAGACTACATAAATATACAAATGCAGGTACATGCAGCACTGTTTTCATCATTTTGATTGATTTTGAATAGATGACAAAAATGGTTATCACTGACAGGACAATAGGTAATGTAGTTTGGTAGACRGTTTGAAATTCATAGTCACTGCTTTGTAAGCAATACAAAAACACACCTTCTCTTGGATCTGACACTGCATGAATTATTATTAGTAAAATAATCATTATTATTAGAACCATACTAATACTGTAAACACAGGAGAATGGAATATTTTGAAATATAGTAACGTGGACAATATTCTGATCCATGAGATGTCAGTGACAAGAATTGTTTGTTTGAGTCAGGCTTAAATCCATCAATCATCATCTTCTGGAGAAAAGATTTCATTTTCTTCTAGCCAAGCAGCCCCTTCTCTGGACATCACAGCTCCAAAGTACATAAATGGAATTGATATTATCACTACTTTAGCCAAGCCAAAGCTTTTGGACTCTGGTTTTGCTGGAACAGCTCTTGATTCTGYAGTCATATAGCGTGGAAGTCTTGGTGCAAATACAAGGCTTATTGACCGTGATTTTTGAAGGATCTGAYTGAGTGCCCTTGATGCCATTATGAAAACTATAAAACAAAAGAATTGTCATTATAGTGTCACTTAACACTTTTGAATGAGGATAAAACTAAGAAAAACGTACTACTGCAAAGTGGCTTGGAGAGGAAATACAGAACTGTATAAATTACGATTTCTCCTATAAATTTCTCAGAATTTAGATATAAATCCAAAAACTTGTTCTCATGTTTCATCAGATTTTCCTAGTCCACAACGTATTTCAAACACTTTCTTTTGAAACATTGCATCACCCCATCCCAATATAATCCTAATTATGACCCCTTTGTGGTTAAAACCAAAATGTGCAACATGTTTGCTGCAGCACTCAAATCAACAAGAATACCAAGTTATGTCAAAATTATGACTTTTTTCAAAATATAYTTTTTTCCTGGCATTGCAAAAATATGAGCAAGCTCAAAAAGGACAATTTTTGGGTCCCTGGGTAATAAGATGGCTGACTTTTTTGCTATCAGAGTTGGCCGCGTCCTACAGGGAAACCATGTAAACAAATATCTCTGCCAGGGTGAAGGACCTTGCATGTAATATTCCAATGCAAAAAATCAAGATAATTAATTTACATCTAAACAAACCCCCAAAAAACGGTAAAACATAGAGCTTCAATGTAGGTGCAAATAACAATGGCCGTAATAAAGCAAGTCTCTCGCATGTCTCATGAGTTATGGCGCTATCTAGGCTTAMTGTATTTTCTTTTTTGTTTACTAGATTTAAAATTCAGTGCATTTAAATTGAAAATCTGAAGTGAAAACCCATAYAAAAACGACATCGACCCTTTATCTAGCCTGCGTACATCCGGTTTATTTTCAAAATTAACCGTGTTTACGAGTAAACGCTGGATGAACTCAGGCTACCCTTTATCACAATAGCGACGCTCACAGGCTGACACCAAAATCTTTCGACTATTATCAACATGAGTATGCGATGAAATCCCGATACAAAAACAGAAACGTTGCATTCTAAGTTTTGTAACTAACCAGTACAATATAAAGTAAATATACTTACAAGTGAAATAGAAATGCTAAGAACGAATGAAGAATGCAAAGTGTTCAAGATGGTTGCCACAGCTCTCCTCTGTGGAATAAGCCTCCTAGGAGACTGGGTCGAGTGGACATTGAAGAAATTTCTGGAGAAAAGTTTATCTTTGTAAAAAAAAGGGTTATTTTTTCTGTTGAAGTGTCTTAAAAGTTCAGTCTCCAGGCTTTACATTTTTTTATATAGACCTATATATTTACGTGGTACGATACAACTGCGCATGCGCGTGTCAACTTCGTAGTGTAAAAGGTTCATTCCTGTGCAGCTCGCTGGATCGAAGAAGAGAAATATGCCTTGCTTTAAGACTACAGATACCTGGGCCAAAAACCTCCGAACAAGCACTATCGGAGAAGAATTCCAGCAGTACACTATACAGCTAACTCGTCATATCGGCTGTTGTGCAGAAAGTTACCAAATCTTCGTGAATGGTCGCGAACTTGAGCATCATACCCTGTCGTAYAATCCCTGCAGTCCTCTGTGYTGTCCTGGTGGAGTCTACGAATGGGATCAAGACGGGCATAGTTTCATGCTCATGTACAACAGCTTATCGTTTACTCGGGCATTTGGTGGTTATCGATTGTTTATTGATGGGATTGATGTCAACACTGGTAGAGACATCAAGGCGTTCTGGCGGCGAAGAGGAATGCAGATKATATTTGTRGGATTGTGCTTTATTCTCCTGGGAGTCGTGCTGTCTCTAATCTTTCGTTACGCTATCCACAGCAGAGCAAGCCCATACTATATTGGATATGGACTGGTATTTGCTGGAGTCTTGTACGTTATTATGGGTGTTATTCCTTTCATGAGGACGTACCCTCAGCCTCGCTATGGTGCGTTTACTGATGTTTCATATTCTGGCCCAAATTCCAGAGGAACCAACGTTGTTTGAGCCCCAGTTCTACTCATAAATGCAGATAGACACTGGACTTGTTTGTAGCTTTCTACTTTACTGAACAACATTGAGAACTGACCTGGAACTCTTGCACCGTTGGGATAATAGAGAAACTAATATGAAGAAATAGGAGAGTACAAGTACAAGTTTTAAAGGTGGCTTTCCATGTGTTGCTGATACTAGATTATAGGTCCACTTTTTATTTCTTTGCCATTTCAATCTATTGCAGAATGCAATTTATGATCATCGCATATAAAAGCCAATATAATTAAAACTTGTCCTTGTACTTCTACATTTCAACATGGATAATCCCTGGTTGTTATTWACTTAAGAGACAAGCTTTGGCCCATGAGMCTGCAGCAGAAAATAGACATGAACATTAGATATTCACAACAAGGATGATAAATGATGACTCGTCTKCAATCTTGTRCTTGTTATAAGATCCCAATGTGTAGATTTTTTAATACAGCACTTTTGTAGTAATCAAGTTGTACTTTAAGCAAAAATCCAAACCAMTATCTTGTGGTCTTAAGTAAAGTGACAGTTAATTGAAAATGCGAATGCAGCCATACTACTGGAAAAAATGCCAGAATCCCGTTCAAAGTCAGATTTWCTTCTGGCATTTTTTCCAGTAGTATGGCTGCATTCGCATATTTATTCTACTACTGACGGACACACATATTGTTTTATAATTAGGTATAGTAGCAGAAACACTAATACCATGATACCATGATAGCTTAAAGTGTTGATCAAAATAATAGAAAACAAAGGACTGTAATATTTATACTTCATGGATTAAGATAGTCTGCTCTGTATGATGTAGAACAAACAACAGTATCACAATACAGTATATAATGGAGAGTAAACATCATGATTGAAAGTATATCAAAGATACTCAATAAAGGTATAAGAATTTTATTTGTAAATAATTCTTTGTGATAAAAAATAAATTAATAAGATTAAATTATAAAGAAACTTCTTGAAAGTCTGAGCATTATGACCTGTTGATTGTAAATCAGTGAAACCTTAATAAGCTTACTAATTTTTAAAAATCATAGTTTTGATTAGAAACTAAATAGATTTTGAAATCGCGTTCACTAAGTCATATAAAAAACACAGAAATGGTTAAAGCAATCTAAAATAAAAAAGTTTTCACATTTTAAGAATAAAAAGATCAATTGAAAATGTAAGAAAGACAACGTAATTTAATGGTTCCCTGTGTCTATAAAGTACGAGAGAGACGCGTCAGAGTCACGTGATACTTAGGCGCGCAAATCTAAACTGACAGCCATTTTTAACTCGTCTAGCAATCGAAGAGTTATTGTTACGTTTGGACCTCACATCGTTTACCATTTAAATACATTTATAATATGGCCACAAAAGAACGAGAAAAGCTGCCTATTCCTAGTATAAGCATTCAAGATGCAGTCAGTCTCATTGAATCGTTTGGAAACAAAACAGTTTTATCAGAGGAAGACATCAAACGTCCTCAAGTAAGCTAAAACAACTGTTCGTTGTTTGACCTTCTACATAAGCTCAAGACTATTTTAATATTTCCAAAAAGTGTAAAACCAGTCTTGCTTTTGCAGTATAAGAGTCTTAAAAAGTGGTATCTGAACTCAATTCTGTTGGATCAACTTGGAATAGCGCAAGAAAGGCTTCTTCAGGTATAAACGGAACTAAATGAAGTGATTGTTCAGCAAGAGTCTTTTGGTTRTTTTCTCTATCCTTCTTATTCTTCAGATTCTTTACTAATGTTTATTATACATTATTTTCAGCCTCACTTTAGTTCGATGACTACCCTGGAACATCCTGAGCTACACGAAGAGAGTGCGGGTCTTATTTTGTTCACCTTGACTCTGTAAGTTGATATTCATATTGTATTTGATAAGTTTGTTTACCGTTGTATTCTTACCCGGTTCCAGAGGCTTGTCTTTTATATTCTTTTGCTTACTATGCTTACTAAGGGAAACTACGTATCCCTTAATTGGTTTGTTTTTACATAAAAACAAACGGAAACGTCTTGATAACATACATGTACATGTAGTAAGCAAAATAATAAAAGCCAAGCCTCTGGAACCAGGATATCTATAACTTATATATGTACAAAATTCATTAAAAATCAAGGCAAATATTCTGTGAAAGATAACTTGCTAGCCTGCTCTCTCAATGGGTTGTGTTTACACCGTATTTTAGAGACAAAAACATACATACGTAACAAGTTCTCCTCTAAAAAGCCAAAGACAGATTGASCATATTTTGGTAAAGGGACACCCTCCATTTATAGTTTCAATTAACAGTTTTGAAAAAAGGGCTTTTACCAATTAAAGATGTTACAGTTTGCTCTAAAAAGCCAGATGTTTTTCATAAAAATGTTTTTTAACAAATACCGTATATGATATATTACATGGGCAGGCAGAAATGCAGATATTATCTGTCCAGTCTTGAAAAGATCTCCCACAAGTGAGCATAGCGAATGAGTGAGAGATCTTTTCAACACAAGAAGATAAAATTTGTATCTCAAGCAACCATGTAATATTCTGTTTATCATATRATTATATATGAAAAAGGCACATATTGTTGTAAAATACCTTTTTTTACTTCCAATATATAGAAAAACCTCAAATGTGTTATTTTCTACATTAGTGAAAATAACAACTTTTTGAAAGAGAGAAATATCGGTATTTATTATAATTACATGATAATAAGATTTATATGTTATMATGGTTGTTTTTATTTCCAGACAGCGGTTCATGTATGCATGTGGTGTAGAAGACTTTACAATAAGTGATTTGCTGTCACCATGTATGTAACATTAATACTCCATTAGAAATGATATTTAGTAGTCTTCTTCCTACAGTCAGCACTGAGCATTTCATCATTTATAAATAGACTTTGTTTTAGACAAAATGTATTTAAAATGTAATTTTATATATATCATATTGCATTTTACTAAATATAATAAATTTATAATAATTTTAATTCCAATTGCATTGTAATTATTAGTATATGTTTTTGCTACCGGTAATTAATTAAGACATCATTTATTTACTTTATTTATTTATGGGTTTGATACCACAATAAACTAACTACTTTACACATACATTTTGTTTTAGCCCCAAAACGTACACTCTACAATATAAGGTATGCAATGGGATCACTCTTTATTTATGAGGATGACATTTAATAGCTTGGTAAAGTAATTAACTAATGGCCCTTTAGAGTACAAACACTAAAACTGTGCAACMTAAATACCACTAAATACTGCTAAATTATGCTAATTCTAGCAATAATTTACCCAATATTGTGTACAGTCAATATTATTCTCAGGGTTTGTTCAGYGCAGAAATATGAAAAAAGTGCTGTTAGACAATGTATGGTGATGTCATTGAACAAGGCATGATGGGAAATGTACCGGTAGTCCATGATATTGTGATGTGCTTAGGTGTAGGTGGCATAGATTTAACAACTTGAAAAACTTAATTAATAAGTAACAATTTCGTGTTTGAATGATGTTTGAAAAACATATTTCTTTACTTATATCACTGTGTATAAGTGAATTGAGTGAAATAAGAACAATAAGAGCGATTGTGAAAAAAAATGCCCGAAAAAAATTTGGGCTTCAATGGTATTAGAAATTATGGGGCAACCCATTTATTACCTAATTTTAATATGACACACCCACAATGGCGTCTCAGTGTTCGTCAACAATCATGTTAATGTGAGGAGCTTTTTCTGTGAACTGAAGCAGAGTGAATGCACTTAATCCATGAAAATAGAACAAAGTATAGTTGCCGAAATATTGCAAATCCTTTATTTTCAATTTGTTAAACTATAAATTACTAATATTTGTCTCACATTATTAGTGCATCCACTCAATTGGTAGGTTACCGTTCTAAAAAAATACCATTGATGAATAATGCTTGTTGGTATTTCAACAATTCAGCTTGCAAACTTACGTTCATTTTCTTTTTTTCAAAGTATCGTTTATTGTTAATTATTTTGTTTAATTGTATCTAGTGCTGTCTTAAATTTCATCAAGTTTAAAAACTTCCAAAAAGAGCCRTATGACAGGGTTTTGGAAGAACTGGTAAGTCACTCCTTGAATTGAACTACTGAACACTCTGACCAGTAAATCATTTTATAGTAACCATACTAGTCAACTAGTTTAACCATTCGGAGTGGTTGCTCTATTCACTGGCTATTTGAAAGTCAGACCAAYGAGGTCAAGTGGAGTTTTGAATCCATGAAGCTGTATTTCTTGTCCTCAGCTAGGACAAAATTGGTCTAATCGTTTTAGAATCCACCAAACTATAGGACATGTTTGAAACAGCAACAACAAACATAAGGGGAAAAGATCACATTTTCTCCACTGTAATACAATTAATGGTTCAAAAAAACTAATGTAAAGCCTATATTTCTCAYCTTTATTCCTTATATTGAAAATATCTCGCTAATTCACTATACTCAGTCATGAGAGACTTTTAACACTAAAAGATAAAATCCATATCTCTGCAAACTACCCATGTAATATCCCTATATTCTATTTTTATCTAACTAGTAGGGTCCCAACACAAAAGACGATCAACTTTGACKAGTATGCTCATCAATAAATTGTTATTTTTTCTAGGATTCCTTTGGTGAGAAAAGGCACCAGGCCTTAGAGAGAAATGCTGCTTTCAGACAAAGAATTGACAAATTGAGGTATGTCTTTGTATACTGTACTTTATATGTTCTCTACACAAAACTACAGAATACCTTTTAAAATCAAACATGAAATTCACATGTAAGGTAACCTTTCTTTAAATGTCTATCATAGCACAAAACATTTGAGGTTTTGAAACGATAGCCCTACAAACAGTGATTCCCTGCTACCTAGATATAAAAATCACTGCTTGTTGTACCAGGGCATGGTACAACCCCTCCTGAATTACTAGCATCAGTAGCTATCAGCCTAAAAGAGAAGGAAATCACTGTTTGCTGTACCAATTATGGTAACCCCCCCTTAATCACTACCATCACCAGCAGTCGGCCTATAAGAGAAGGAAACACTGCTCTACAGTATGGTACTTCTCCTCCCCCACACCTGAATCACTCCAATAATTGATGGGGTGTCAATGGGGGGCTAATGAGATGTCCTTTCTACTATGAATTACAGAGTTCAAAGAGCTGAAGAGGAGGTCCAAGCAGAACAGGTACAAAACATAGTAAAGCAATAGCCTACTTAGCAGGCAACTCTACTATGTGGGATTCTTGTGTTATGGACAAAAAARCTGCCAGAGAGGGAGGGAGTTAGAAAGGACACCAGTTCTTCTTGGTCAAGATRATTAACACAGGAAGACCAAGACTGCAAATAKTCTGCGAAGGAGGCTAAGTAAAGCACTGGGAACCATAGTATATTGTGGATATATGCTGCCATCATGTAACAAAATAATTATTTGGGTTTATAGTTAAGCTCTGCTGTTGAAAATCTTGAAACTGAAATAAGAGAACTTAACAGAGAACAGGTAAGACTGCTTTGATATTAAAACAACTTCATATTTTAGCACAACAGTATTTTATTCGTCATTATCAATTTATATCTGTATTCATTCTCAAGCTAAGTTCATACAAGCTAGACAAGGACTGCAGTAATCTGATAAATGAAAATCAATAGTCATAAATGAATTATTAATCCATTGACGATTGACCATTGGGACTGAAAAACCTGAAAAAAGATTTGTAAAACAAAATAAAGCACTAGATGTGCAGACTCAGCACTAAAAAAGGCTTTATTGTAGAGTTTAAAGGCAGGCAATGTCAACTTGACAGCTAGCGAGTTTTTGCCTTCTTCCCTTTTCCCTGTGCCTTCTTGAAATATAACCCTGCCTTTGCATCGAAACAACAAGATCCACGAGCATGAAATGAATTTGTGAATAATTGCCTACAGGTATGCCTACAGGTATGGTTACATTTCTAGACTATAAAGACTCAAAGAAACTACTACAACAACATCTAGTCTAATGTGCATTAGGAAAAAAGCCCTTCRCTAGGCTTTGAATATGAGAGAGAATTAAATGCTTAACCTTAACTTACAGGCTGCAGAATCAAAGACTTACCAACAACTCAAGACTACTAATGCTGAACAAGCATCRAAGAAGGCAAGACATTACATCATTGTTAACAATTTTAGTGTAAATGAAAGAATATTTCAGCATTTCAACTCAATATTACTATCTTAGGGACTATGAGAATGTTAATRCTCAACTCTGATCACAAAACACTTTCAAATTAGTGTTTGAAAAACCAGGTGTAATTCTTGGGTGAAGTGTGAAGCCAGTTGTGCTCACACCTCATGTTTTGACYATTCCAGGCAGAGTACCAGGCATCTCTAGCGGGACAAAAGGAACATTCTGATACCTTAAAATCTAAGATTGTTCAATCACCTGACCGATTTAAAGCTGTAAGTACCATCCATTTACTTTTCATACTAAATACKTACACATTTACTTTCACATCACTGATGACTTGATTGGCTCTAAGTATARCATTAYGTCTACATGTATATATAAAAATTGCAGGAAATCTCAAGACTTGGCAACCAGCTAGACAATGTTAAAAATAGCAGAGATGAAAAGAGTTGTAGGTTTACAGAAGTAGAGAACCAAAGGGATGCTAGATTGAAATGGAATGAGGTATGATATACACGTGTAAGAGTATATTTCAATTTTATACAAATCAATTAGATAAATACTAAGAGAAAAAATACAATCATTCTTCCCATACTGTAGGTAATATATAAAATATGAGCAGGAGATCGACCTTATGGGCATATAAAACTGCAAGCTGCAAGCAAGCAGTTGTAAGAGAAAATCAAAGTTAAAGTCGTATGCAATCAGGACAAATCTCTTGTTCATATAAAGATGCAGTCACGGCAATGATTTTCCATTGTGTTTACCTTATGAATTATTAATGAATTTGATAACAAAGAATAACAATTTTTCTGAAGTGACAAATATAGGTTGTTTCATGCATCAAAGTGATATAATAGAATGATCACACTCAGATCAAGCTGTCAATAACATGCAAAGTGAACATACAGATACTTCAAATTATTGATTGGACATTGATATGTCTGATAATKTTGAGACAAAGTTTGTGAGTTGATGTGAGGATTTAATTATTATCTTCATTTAATAACAACTCTTTGTCTTTTTTCCCAAAGAATATGAAAAATGCACTGAAACTCATGACATCGATTGCAAGTGACATGGAAAGAGAAAGGTAACAAAAWTAATRTTTTCTCACGGAATGACTTTGTAATGTGCTTTCAAAAATCGCCGATGCAGTCAATATGAAGATGTGATATAATTGATTATTGTTTGAAGCTTGCTGGTATTTTCTCTGTTTTCATGCACATTGGCTTCACTGTTAACTCACTTGTATTTTCTAGTAATCAGCTGGCTAAGCATGAGGAAACCCAAGATGCATTGAGAGCTCAGAAAGAAGGACTCAAGGACTTGGTTCTTAAGATTCAGGTAYCTCACAATAATTAAYATTCTTAACCGGTTTTATTTTTAGATCAACTGGAGTCAAGTACAAAGCTCTTTGGTTGATTGACAGCTTTTAGTGACCTTTATCTGCATTAAACCTGGTTCACACAAATAACACTCAAGCAACACAAATAAAAATGCAAGAAATGAAACATTTTTCATTTTCTTGCCCTTGGATTTGAAGATGCTTTGCATTTTCAACCTGTAAACTGGAACATTTCCACTTGCATTTTGTTTGCTTGTGTGTAGCTTTAGCTGCATAGCAGCAGAAATGACATTTAAGTATGTTATCAATTGGGCCTCAGGCTGCTACAGTCAATGAGACCTAATACTATACATCCAATTAGCTATCTTTATATGCACCCAGTGAACAGGGAGTGTGTAGATGGAAGGAATACACCTACTTGCGAAAACGTTGTCATAGAAAATAGGACATTTGTATTTAGTCAAAAAGGAATAAATTAAAAAAGACAAAAGAAGATCACTGAGGCTGAACGCTTTCTTTTGTCTTGTTTTAATTTATTCCTTTTTACTAAATTCAAATGTTCTATTTTCTATGACAACGTTTCTGCAAGTAGGTGTATTATAAAAATAATATCGATAGCACATTTTTGGTTGAATACCTCAGTTTTGTTGACTGGCAGCTGAAATYTCTCGGTATTGTTCAAGGTGGTATTTTTGAATAAATTACTTTTTGTTTTGATAAAGCAAATAAATTGGTAAAAAAGTTTAAAAACATCTGATATCAATATCTTTTGAACTAGATATCAATCATAATTGAAAGATTTTAATGACCTTGTTAATGTTAACTCAATAAGAATTGCTATTSATGTTAACATGAAAAAAAAGAATAGCTAAAATCAGTAATTTGCATTTTAGCATTGTAAAAGGCAGTCTGCAGCCAAACAAGATAAAGTTTTACGTACCACTCGACAACATGAGAAAAAGATTGCAGTCTTACAAGAACAGTTTGATGAATTAAAAAGGTATTTCAGACATGACAGAAGTATGATAGAAAATGTTTGTTGACAGGAGGACATGTAATATTTGTTATTTTTTTGTTGCATTTTCAAGTGTCAGTTAACTAGAACTGACTTCTGGAGGTCACAATAAACAAAATATTTTCTCATTAGTGGGCTGCAAAATTAATTGGTGCCTTGGCCTATTAAAATTTTATATTTTATATATTCAGAAAGTCTATGGATTGTTGTTTCAATTTCAAATACACCTTACATTGTCTCAGTTGAAGACATTCATGATAAGACTACAGTACAGTTAGAGCACTTCAATCAGTATATTWTTTAGCTTCTGCACTCATGAAAAATTGCTTTTTGTAAGTACTTTGTATTGTCTTATTCCTAAGACTTTTCTTTTGTAGAAATGAAGCAAACTATCTGGAAAAAAATGTAGAGGTATCCATGGAAAAGAGCAAAGACATTGAGAGAAAGATTCAAGAGATTGYACACACAGTTAGTAAAAACTTTTAGTTAGTCTAAAAGCTCTTACCTGGGCTGTCTATAATGTCTTCTGGCAAACCAGCTAGATTAGGGGGGGGGAACGATTTAGTACTGTTGTTTTATGTGACATTTTTCATGCAGTCATGTTTTTTGACTTATTTATTTGGTAGTAAAATACTGTCTTTAGTGTTGCCCGATTTTAATGCTAAACTTTTTACATCACTACTTGCATTGACATGCAATTAGTTTCTAGAGAAAAGAAAAGTCATCCCTCACGTTCTGTCCCAAACATATCCTACAATGCATCGTGCTTCATGTTTCATCAGGGGAATCCAAACACCTCGAAACAGATAAAAGCACGCGGCCTGCATCCTCATGCTTTCATCAGTTCCTTGGTATTTGGATCCCCTTATGAAACACTTGCACTCGTCTTTGATCTATTACTTAAAGGCCACAATCAATCAATCAATTTATTGTACATATCTTTGTATAACATACAGTGCTTTATTCCTTTAAATAGAAAGATTTATTAGTATTTTTCACATATATCAGAGAACCTTTTTGATCATTGGTTTTGCTCTGCGATTGAAAGTTGCTTTTCTTATTGGTTGAAAATCAAAGATGGTGAATATTGGTAGAAAATCTTGCAAAGGTTCTCAGAAGCAAGAGCAATTTCAATCAATATACATCAAACAAACATGAAACTGATGATGTTTTTGTTATTTGAYTTTAGTTGGAAGATAAAGAAAACCAAGCAAATCAAGAGATCACAGCCCTTAGAGAATCATACTCAAAACTGCTTGCACAGGTAAACCATTATTACCAACCTCCTTTTCTCTACTATTGGAGTTCCTTTGGGAGAAAAAGCTGAGTAAGTAAAGAAGGCACTGGGAACTCAGTTTGCAGTCTCTTAAGGAGGTTATAGGAGGCTATACTGATTAGACTACCAACAATTATTACAACAAAAATGTTTAATAATGTGATATTGATTTCTTCCACAGGTGAGCATCTATCATCAAGGTTTGAATGAAGCTTGGACACAAATGAAGGAGTTTGTTTAAAACAAAATAACATGTATTTGTGATAATGGTCAATATTTGCATTGTATTTTAGAGTTGTTGACCATGAAACGACAGTAAGGTTATATTTCATGGAAATAGCAAACCAGAGCAATTAATGTACTCACTTTACCAATGAATTGAATTAAAGAGTTTCATGAAAAGTGTTGTAGTTAACAGTCGCAGAATCCATTTTCTTTATGACCTGGTTGTAGGCCATTCAGGAGGGAGAGCAGTCCTCCAAAAGAATCATAATAAACAAAGGCATAGAACAAGGGAAATGGTAACAACAAGTCCCATGGGGAGGGGAAGAAGGGGTAATGTTGTTTTGAATGTCAATACTTCATTTGATTCACATTGGGATTGTTGTTTCTCAAATACTATGTTATCAAGTTGCAAGTGAGTCATCAAGTAAGAAARGAACTTACAACATACCCTCTAACACCACAAAAGCAACAACATGAAACTATCAATAAAACGGAAATATTACCAAGTGAAYGTACTCTGTGAAAATACTAGGCGTAACTTTACAAAAAGACCTAAAGTGGAATTCACACATATTAGAGATTATTAACACAGCTGCTAAAAGACGTTTCCTTTCTCCGTCAGCTAAAACAACCAAAGGTTAATTGGTTTCTCAGACCTTGGTCAAGTTTTTTTATACAGCACGTATCAGGTCTGTCCTTGCTTGCCAGGTATTCCACTATATATTCCTGATRATTTAAGCTCTTCTGTAGAGAGAATCCAGAAACATGCTCTGAAGATCATATATGGCTATGATGTGACCTATGGCGTTGCCTTGTACCTCGGGTCTTGATACACTTTGTGTCACAAGAGAACAGCACTGCAAGAATTTTTTGAAAAGATCATTGCAGACAATAGAGTGCAAATCATAAATGTGTGAAACAATAGCGTAACTATTTTTTGGGCGTATCGGTATTAAGTTGCATAGCTGCTAACTTCGTAGTTATTTTCTTCATATAAGAATTGATTCAGGCGTAAAAACAAAGACACAAAGAAATCGTTAAAATGCGTCTATCTTTGATTTCTTTGTGTCTTTGTTTTTACGCCTGAATCAATTCTTATATGAAGAAAATAACTACGAAGTTAGCAGCTATGCAACTTAATACCGATACGCCYAAAAAATAGTTACGCTATTGTTTCACACATTTATGACATGCACTCTACCATCAAACTATCATTTGTTACCTCTGAACACTAGAAATAGATTTAACTTACGCAAACAAAGAAAATTTACTATTCTTGTTTATTATAGCAAACTGTGGTAAATATGATCTGAAATAGTGACTAGGACGTGTATTAATAAAAAGTAGAAAACCAAGTTACAAGTTGCGTGGCTTTTTTTTATATATTATATAATATTTTACCATATACAATAGACGATTTGCATTATGGCGTCATTTACTACAACTACCAGAATGCTTTGCCCACTTTCTTTTGTAATGCAATTAGTGACAATTGTTTTATTAATCTCCAAGGGGATTAAAAATCTGAATAACAATGAAAATGTGCAAGGCTCTCTGGTAGTTGAAGTTACGCCATAATGCAAATGGCCTATTATGCAATTCAGCTCCCAAGTTTATCTTAGCAGCTGAAATGTAATTTTGTTTTTAAAAAGTTCTTTAAAAAGTTCTTTAAAAAGTTCTTCATTTTTCCTGGTAGAAATTCCATTGGCTTCATGAATTTCCCCAAATCCACTGTGAAATAGACATCAAATCCTGTACCCAGAATGCAATGCTAGAAGAAATTAAGAAGAGGACAAAGAAGATAATAACATTTATTGGAAATCAGGGGTGGATTCAGGGCCCCGGGGAGGGGGTACTCCCCTCAAACTTGGGTGGGGGTGTGCCGCTGGGACGTCAAAACCCTGATCCTGTTCCAGAGTGAAATCGCTGATAACTATACCCTGTTCCAGAGAAAATCTTGAGTAGCTTGCGTGTAGACCGAATTTTTACCCAGTGAATTTTTACCCAGCATCAATAATTCCGGAATTAAACYCTGACCCTGTTCCAGAGAAAATTCGTTGAAATCGATACCCTCTTCCAGAGTAAAATCGCTAAAAACGATACCCTGGTTGGCGGCACGTCCCCGTGTGGCGAATATAGGGGAGTATTTTTGCCTGTATTTTTTCGTACAACTTGCGTGCTGGGCTTCCTGTGCATGAAAGCTTCGCCACGTTCTTGAAGCTWTTGAATTCTATTGAATGTACTCTAATTGCATGGCGTCGATTAAGGTAACATAAAGCTCACATTTATGTCATTATCGTATAAACTTTACAAAATATACTAAACAAAAACACAATGGTGTACTAGTGGTGGTACTTGGCATTATGGGATGGGTAACTGCACTTCCTGTTGTACAAGGACTTCCAAGAACTTTCGTAAAAATGCATTAGACGTGGATTAGGAGAAGAAAATAAAAATGAATTATYTTGACTCGGAGAAGATTGATTTGGCGTTTATTGTTGACTGTACGGGATCAATGGGATCTTACATCAACCAAGTCCAGAAACACGTCCAGTACATAGCAGAAACTATCGCTCGMACTTCCTTTGACGTTCGACTGGCTCTGATTGAGTACAGGGACCATCCACCCCCAGATACAAGCTTTATTACACGCATTCATGATTTTACCAGTGACGTAAACATGATGAAAACATGGGTTGATCAAATGGCGGCTAGTGGTGAACGCGATAGGCCTGCAGCTGTAGCTGATGCTCTTCAAYTAGGAACTACACTCARCTACAGAAAACAGTCWACAAAGATGTGTGTTTTAATTGGTAAAGGCATTGATTACACATATCATTAGATTAAATGAAAAAGTGAAATGCTGAAAATGTTTATCAAATATTTGAGCATAAAAGGATTTGTATGGGGTCAAACCCCCGAACAACAAACAGCTTGGGTATATAGTTTTCAGCGATTTTACTCTGGGACAGGGTCAGGGTTTTGAGGTCCCAGTGGCATGGTAGGATACTCCCCTATATTTGCTATACAGGTATGTGCAGCTCGATAGGGTCCCTTTATCAGAGCTCCAAGTCTGGGAAAGGGGCTCATTTTTTGCCCATTTGTCTGGGATAGGGTAGTATAGCTAGTTTTGTCTGGGATAGGGTAGTTTTTTAAATCTAAGATAGGGTATAGTCTCATTGTCGATCTGGGGTGGGGTGGAGTTTTGCCCATTATCATATCTGCTAGGCCACGCTTTCAGTGCTAAAATAATGTACCTCTCAATCCCTGAGCTTCAGTGATCCCAGTTCCTATCCCAATATAATTCTGATCCCTGGTCCTATATACCATGTGACACTCAGATGTGAGATCATCTAACACACGGCTGAGAGGGTGCACTTCCTTATTAATGTTCTTATATCAACCAATATTTTAGAATATTTGGTAATATTTTTTTATGATATTAGTGTGAGTGTCACCATATATTTGGAATGATTGTATCAGAGAATAATTATATCAACCGCCCATAATTTGATTGCAAGAATCTATGTCTATATATAGCTAGATATTAGCAGGTGATTGCTGGTCTTGGTAAGCAGTCTTGGTATGACAGCATCTTGCAAGCAAATGTCCATATTGACCACAGTACCAACTATTAAAGAATAAATAAATTGAAAAGCTTCGAGGCCCATCATAATATTAACTGTTTGCAAATATCAATCTGAAACATTGAATTTCTTTAAAATGCTAGTTGGTGTTGCTTTGCAATACTCCATGTTATTGTTTACAGCTGATGCACCTCCCCATGGACTAGATGAGAATGGTGATGGATTCCCCRATGGTTGTCCCCAGCATYATGATCCCCTAGAAGCCTGTCATCTTATGGCTCAAAATGGTATCGTCCTATACTGCATTGGCTGTGAACCCAGTGTTGAAGCATTCAGAGATTTCTTGATTGGTCTTGCTCATATTACAGGAGGTCAATATGTCCCCCTCAGACAAGCCAAGACTTTGACTAAGGTATGTATTATACACTGCATGGGTATCAGGTTTGTTATGATGGTGAAATGATATAATATTAATTAATATATATTATATTATTAATATACAATATAATTAATATTTATTATTTACATTTATATATTTATATTTATATAACGTGGTTTTACATATCAAAACAAAAACGCAACACGGAAAAAGGAAAAATACAAGATCTTGATTAATGTTAACCTAAAATATTTGAAATACAAAACTCTTATTGAAACATTACGAAATCGTTTTAAATCTGTCAAATTTGTTAATCTATCAAACAGGTCCCTTGGAGTTTTCTAAACTAAATGCGCTTCATTTTTAGACATGGTCAATGTATCATGGATTAGATTCGAGAAAAATCATAAAGTGTACATACTAAAGAAGAAATAAGCATCGCAATTAGATCGACATATTTCATTTTTTTGTAAACGGATCAAAGATTGGGAAATGTCCGAATTGATGAAATTTTAATTTTTTCTTTTAACATTATTATTGTAAAATTGTAATTTCTAAACTTTTTTTCCCTAATATTATTATCATTAATTTTCGTTTTTGTATTTGTTTTCTACTTTGTAATCAATATTCATTATAATGTCAATTCAAGTAGCCAGTTGTAAATTTCCTTTTATAGTGAGATTTGCAATTGTAAGTGAAAAAAAAGTAATAAACTTTCCATGATGATGATGATGACTTTATAGTTTTGGTGGAGATTTCAAAAGCATGAATGTGTGCTGTCTTAATAGGCTAGGTTCTGGTGGGGCAGACGAGCCTGGGGTTGTCTTCAACCCAAATGATACCGAAAGAGCTTCTTTAGAAGCTACTCATGGGCTTCAGGCCAGTAACAATGAACGAGCTCTTATAGGAGCTAATAAGGGGCAAGCCATTAATTCTACTAGGATAGTCGTAGTCGAAAGGTTGGAAAAAGGGGCGAGACTAAACATCGATGCACTCTGAAGGAGAGAAAGGTACTATGGGAGTGTTTTGTGAGAAGTGGTGGAAAGAAGTCAGGGGGTTATATCAAGCATGTTAAGGCGTTGTGGGATGAAAGAGGATTGAGCGTGAGGGAGGTACCGAGTTTACTGTCGCAACTGAAGGGAATTGAGAATGGATTGTTAACAATGATGGAGAGAAGGAAAGAAGGGCAGAGAGGAATGTTTTCTTTGGAGAAAGTGACAGTCAGGATGAGTTTCTTGGTTTCGAGGGAGGTGTGAACAGTAATTTTGGTGTAGATAGAAATGTAGAGAGGGAAGAAGTGTGGAAAGTGTAAAAGGAGTGGGTGAAGTTGAGTTAGGGGAAGATAAGGTAGTTGTGCAAAAGCTGATTATATATGAACACCTGAATGTGTGTGGGTTGCTGCCAGACGAGCAGAAGGGATGTAGGAAGGGATCACGTGGGACGAAAGATCAGTTACTGATTGACAAGGCTGTGTTGAGGGATGATTAATCATCTAGTTACTGTTCATGGATGATTTGAAGTTGTATGGTAGGTCGGAGGAAGAACTGGAGAAGTTGGTTGACGTAGTTCATGTGTTTTCGAGGGATATTGGGATGGAGTTTGGTTTGGATAAGTGTGCTGTGTTGATCTTGAAACAAGGGAGTCAGTGGTCAGTGGATGGTCAGGAAATGAGTGAGATGGATGAGAAAGAAATGATGCAGAAGGTGAGAGATGAATACTTGAGGAGGGTGAAGCTTACGGCAAAATCCAAGTTTGGCGGTAATTTGATCAAGGCAATCAATGCTTGGGCTGTTAGTGTGGTAAGGTATGGTATAGTGCAGGTATCTTGGACTGGAGCGATCGAGAGTTAAAGGAGATGGATGTAAAGACTAGAAAGAGGTTGACAATGTAGTGAAGTTGTCCTTCAGTAGCATCGTGTTGTGCAAGATAAAGTAGAGATTGAGCCATGCGNTTTTGTCTTGTTTTGAGTCTTTAGTCTTGCCTTAGTGGCTTGTTGCATATCAGGGCAGCTTCTAAGAGGTTGACAATGTTTGGGACATTTCACAAGAAGGGGAGTGTTCCAAGATTGTACATGAAGAGGAAGAATAGTGGTAGGAGACTGACCAGCGTTGTTGATTGTGTGACAAAAGAAGAGCATGATTTGTGTGGGTATGTGAAAGCCAGTGAAGTATAAGAAGAGGGTACAGAAGGAGAGGAGGGAGAATTTTATGCAGAAGAGGCTTCACGGAAAGTTTATGAGAGATGTGAGTGAAGTGGCTGATGWGAGGTCATGGCAGTGGTTAAGAGCAGGGTATTTGGGAAAGGGCACTGAGGGGTTTGTGTTTGCAGCACAAGAACAGGCTTTGAGGACGAGGTTTCCTTTCTGTTGATCCAAAGTGCAGGGTTTGTGGTAAGGAGGTGGAGTCTGTGGGACATTTGGCGAGTGGTTGTAGTGGGTTAGCTCAAAAGGAATACAGGAGGAGGCATGATAGAATGGGTTTGAGGCTGTATTGGGAACTGTGTAGGAAGTATGGAGTGAAGTGTGCTGRTKTTTGGTATRAKGAAGTACCCGATGAGGTAAGGGTGTCAGRGGATGGTCAGGTAGAGATTTGGTGGGACAGGGGCTTCGAGACAACACAGAAGATGGAACATAATCGTCCGCATGTTACTTTGTTGAACCGGGCGGCCTAGGAGTGGACGTTTGTTAATTTCTCGGTGCCTTGGGACAAGAACGTGGTGTTGAAGGAGGATGAAAAGGTTGCAAAGTATGCACCTTTGGCAAAGGAGATAAGGAAGATGCACCAAAGGTAGTTCCATTAGTTGTTGGTTGTTTTGGGGTTGTGTCGAGTAGGTTTGTGGGATACCTAAAAGTTTTGGGTATCCCAGATGTTCTGGGTGGTATGCAGACGTCTGCACTCATTGGGACCACCCTCATTTTACAAAAGGTGCTTAGTCTCTAAGCTCTTGGATGGGGCCGAGGCTAAGTTAAATTTACACCTACAGCATGAATCATATCTCTACTCTGGTTGTCTGTGAAACAGTTATTTATTTATTTATTTATTTATTTATTTATTTATTTATTTATTTATTTATTTATTTATTTATTTATTTATTTATTTATTTATTTATTTTATTTATTTATTTATTTATTTATTTATTTATTTATTTATTTATTTATTTGTTTGTTTGTTTGTTTGTTTATTTATTTCTTTTTTGTTTTTGTTTGGAAGCTTGGTACTTTAGTCAATTTATAGTCAATGCCTAGCTATAGATAAGAAACATATACATACAGACTGAACAATGCCTTGCAATGGTTCTCTTCTATTGCATTCTAGTCCTCAAGATTACTTTGAAGTATAGAAATGAAAGAAAGTTATAGTTAACAAATAGATCTCATTTTTCCGTGCGTGTGTACTCTAATAGATACACAGATGACGTCAAAATGTAGTGAGAACAAAAAAGTACGCACGAGACGCAGTCGCGTGCGTGACTGTTGTTCTCACTACATTTTGACGTCATCTGTGTATCTATTAGAGTACACGCGCACGTTAAAATGAGATCTATCTGTTTTATACAACAAACAATCAGTTTTGACGTAATCCGTGTATCTATACTTTGATAACACACGAAAGCCAACCAATCAAAACGTCTGATTTTACTGAAAAGTTGTATAATGCTTAGTAGAAGGCAATTCCGGGAGAAAGACCCTTTGGAATAGAATCCAGAAAAATTAATTTCCGACCTCGCTTGGATTCGGGTTGCGGTAATAGAATAATGTAAAGATATGAATATGAGCACTATAACTTTCTTTCATTTCTATGTCTGTTCTGTCATAGTTCCATGCGGTCCTCATATTCATATCTTTACATTATTCTATTACCGCAACCCAACATCTATTTCACCCCGACCTGCTCCCAGTCTGGGCTTGTAGCTCAGCTGGTAAAGCATCGGTAGTACAAATCCGAGGGTCGTGGGTTCGAATCCCAGCGAGGTCGGAAATTAATTTTTCCGAAAATTCTATTCCTAAGGGTCTTTCTCCCGGAATTGCCTTCTTCTAAGCACTATAACTTTCTTTCATTTCTACATCTGTTCATAGTGCCATGCGGTCCTCATATTCATTACTTTGATGTAGGTGACACTTCAGTCACCATGCAGTAACTGGCACAGAAGCCTGATTGAAAACTTGTTTAACTGAACACTAGGGAGAGTCAGCTAAGAGGCACAGGGTCTACACCTGCTAGTACACAAGCATCCAAACGCAATATTTGATATCAACCAGAGGTTGCTTTACTTTATTAGCCTACAATCGTTGACAAAATCCTTGGACCATTCCAGCGAATTTTCTCATTTTAAGCAACACCCGCAGACAATTTCATCCCTCCTGACCCCCTAAATGCAATGTTGCCATTGATCATGTTACCAAAGTACACAAKCGTCCAAAACAAGACCCAACATTGATGAAAGGGGGAAATCTATGAAAAAATAAAGGAGAAAAATGTTAGGCTGGAGACAAATATTGTAATTGTACGGTCCAAGGTATTTTGGCAACAATTGTAGCTGGATTCAAAATAATAGTGATCGATTCTTAGAAATAATCGTCATGTTTTGTCAGGTTATTATTAGTGCTGCCCAGGAAGAAGTGTCATTAGAGAAGCTGATGGGCCATGCAACAGATTATGTGCTTCTCACGTTGGTTGATGTGAAAAAGAAAAAGAAAAATATGAAAGTGGATGATTTAGCAAAGGAACTTCTTTACAAGCTGAGATCAACAGGAAACCAGAGCGACATCCTGCAAATGAATGACAAACCTTTAGAACCTGTCACACCAGATGGTAAGCGATACAGTCACATGAAAAGAATGTGGGAAGCAAAGGAATTCTATATGTCAAATAAGAATCCCAGGGGAAGATACCATGGAAACCAACATAATGATGATGGTAATGTTGCTATTGTTGAAAACAAGCAGATTACAATAGATCAGGTTTTAAGGATCATAAGGAAAGTTTTAGCCAGAAACAAAACACCAGTTGAAAATGATGAAACAATAACTTATGACAATGTCCCGGAAGAAATAAACTAATGAAAACAACTTATCAACACTTTACCATAATAGTCAGTAAGGTAACAGGGGAACTTGTATCATATTAACCTACATGCAAAATTATTCCTGGGAAAATTCAAGGTTAATATAATATGCAATTGCCTGCAATCAATTTGATACGTATCAATACTGCCTTAAAAGAGATGTTGTAGAGGTCACATAGTGAGGCCTAGCCCGGGACCTAAAATTGCCTAAAATCGCCCAAAATCGCAGTAAATCGCCTTAGATTTAGATGGGTTTTTGGTGATTTTTGCTTAAATCGACTAAAATCGCTTAAAATCCCCTACAATCGCCTACAATCGCCTAAAATCGCCCAAAATCGCAGTAAATCGCCTTAGATTTAGATGGGTTTTTGGTGATTTTTGCTTAAATCGACTAAAATCGCTTAAAATCGACTACAATCGCCCAAAATTACGGCGATTTTAGGTCCCGGACTAGACCTATAGTGCTTTTAAAAATGTCTATCAATACTTAACAACAAGGCAGGAGTATAAGCTATTGTTATACTACTTATAACATATTGTTTTATATGATTTCTAAGTAAACAATAATGCTGTTTGTGACAGCATGGTGTAATGTTTTAAAAAAACTGTTTTACAATATTTAATATTCGACTTCTGCACTTATATGATTTCTTATCATTCCAGGAATTAATTATTGTTTAAGGCTGTATAAGTCCAAATTATTTTTAATATTTTATACAGCATTTTGCAAACATACAGTCAATGCAATATGTAAGTAGAATGAAATAGAACAAAACACCAACTTGAAGCTATAATAACTCTGTTTTAATGGACGTTTCGGCACTTCAGCCTTCTTCAGCAAACTGAGTATAAATTATTATGTATACATTATCATGAATAATTTCCACAAAGTAAGTGGTTATAAAAACCCTCCTTGAAGTATAAAGTGCAAAATACCTTAAAAATTGCTGATTGTGTTATTTAAGGCCAGTTGGATGGAACGGTAATATAAGTATTAAGTACACATGCATTAATCAATATTTCTATTTGTACAGTTTGCAAAACACTGCACTGCGTAATGTAGGCTAAAAATAGTATCATATTAAGTCACGTCTTCTGGCACATCAAAGACGTTAAACTGGTGTGTCTCCCTACATTTCTTTTTATTTTCACTGGGGGACGTTAAAGATTCAACTAATAGATTGAATTAACTCTATTTTAAAAAAGCTGACTGTCAGCTCAGATAATCAACTCTCTTCAGTTTTGCAGTTATTGGGCTCAGCTATTGCTAAATCCCTGGTTGAAAAGGCAAAAGCAATAGATAAAAGAGATTAATAAATTAATATATAAATAGATAGGAAATAAATGAATGAATGAATAAATGCAGCAGCTGTACTGTACAATATATTATCATTACTGATGCACATCTGTATATTGTGAAATTATACAGCAAGCACCAACCCATTAGCTGCCATACAATGCACACATTTCGATGACAAAATATGAACCGATAAACCATTAAATCTAATTTCACAAAACTGGATCTGCCACAGGTAGCCCAAGCTCTACACTTGGCGGCTTTTAGCTGAATTTGATGAAAATGTAAAAAAAGAAATGCTAAATTTAAGTAACTTACGGAGGTACGTTACAAATACCAAAAAAACTCGCTAAATAGTCGTCCAAATGACCTGAAACTTCACACGAAGAGCAAGGACAATAAAAGAGACAACGTAGGATGATGTTTTTTTAATTCTTTTTTTACATTTTCATCAAATTCAACTAAAAGCCGCCAAGTGTAGAGCTTGGGCTACCTGTGGATCTGCCGGCAATTTAATAGTCCAGAACTGGACCCTCTTTTATCCTTGCGCGCGCGGAGTTGAAAACTATTATTTTGAATCAGCGTTCTCAACGGTCACTCAATTTTCTGTAGCGCGCGCTTTGGATTTTTAACTTTTACATAGAATATTATCTATAGTAATTGAGAAAAGAGGGTCCAGTTCTGGACTAGCAATTTAATTGGTGGCCAAATTATTGGCTCCATGTTGCTTGATCTGGGATCAGCATGCTTCATCAGGGTGACTCAATTTGACTTAGTGATATGAAACACACATACATATAATCATAGAAATCAATAATGTACATTTGATATAATGAAATAAAGTAGAACAATGAAGTTATAAACACGAACTTAGACCACAATAGTTATAGTGAAATCGATTCATTCTTATATACACAGCTCCTATTTACATAACGTCACGTGCACAATAGTGCCCAGTCCTTACGTCGCTAGGGAAATAATTCTTACTTTCCACTCGCTACGCTCGTCCGTTACAAGAGATATACATTTCACTTGGCTACAATTATAATACATTATTTCCAAGAAATGTGTGATGCAAATGTGCCTGGAAAAAAGGGTCCAAAAAAAGTTAAAATCTACGCTACATTTCAATTTGCTTGAAAAACAGTTTGCTTTTCTCGTCTCGAGCCTCTGGTTAACCTAAATGCATCATTTTATGCAAGTTTATGGAGAGCAAAGACAATACACAGGTTACAGTGTAAATTACAAAGCAATGACTGGTCTACGGTGGCCGGTTAGGGCCATCGTGAATTTTTTAATTCAACTTTAACTTTTATTTTCACTGGCAGTTTGAATGCAATTTCATATATATTTTTTTGACATTTGTATATGTTTTATAACACGAGATCTCGCTTTTAATACAAGACCTCGGCTTTTAACACGAGATCTCGCCTTGCAACACGAGATCTCACTTTATAACGCGAGATGTCACCTTTTAACACGAGATTTCGCCTTCCAACACGAGATCTCGCCTTTTAACACGAGATCTCACTTTATAACGCGAGATCTCGCCTTTTAACACGAGGTTTCGCCTTTGAACACGAGATCTCGCCTTTTAACACGAGATCTCACTTTATAACGCGAGATCTCGCCTTTTAACACGAGATYTCRCYTTTYAACACGAGATCTCGCCTTTTAACACGAGATCTCGCCTTTTAACACGAGATCTCGCCTTTTAACACGAGATCTCGCCTTTTAACGCGAGATCTCGCCTTTTAACGCGAGATCTCGCCTTTTAACACGAGATCTCGCCTCTGGCTTTATAGCACGAATAAAATTGTACGGGCTTCCTGTGCTGGGGTCTTTTCAGCTGATTCAGCTGATTGCAGGCTCAAAAATGGCGGAAAACATGGAGAAGACTTGCGCCTAAATACAGGAATGGCTCCGACATGTTTTTGGCCGAGAAAGGTCTGGAGCTGAGAGAGGCGAGATCTCTCGTGTTATAAAGCGCAAAAGATGATATACAAATGTCAAAAAAAAATGAAATTGCATTCAAACAGCCAATGAAAATAAAAATTAAAGTTGAATTAAAAAATTCACGATGGCCCTAACCGGCCACCGTAGCCAATGGCAACAGCAACTCGAAGATTTATTGTGTAGACGAATACAGAATGATACGATGTATCAAATTATAATTGCTTAAGAAATTAATTTAATTAAATTAAGCTTAAGAATTTTAAGTAAACTATGAATGTAATTTTTTTCGTTAAAATCTTATTGTTTTAACTTCGATTCTAGACAAGCAGCAGTGAGTGCCTGCCAGTTTATAGGTCAGTTTATCAACATTGGCATGCGTGGCCGAGTGGTAGTGCCTTTGATTTCCTACCCAGATGATTCCATACCTCTTTTATTTCTTTGCCAAAAAAGAAATAAATTCGATTAAATATAACACAGGGAAACCGGTAATGGAAAATAAACTATAAAACAATAAGAATGGACCTCCCCAGATACTTCCCACAATTAATCTGCGCGCCGCGCGCATCAAACCGAGGTCTGGGTAAATTAGAATGTAAACAAACTCAATAAAATAGTTGTAAATATAGTTTATTCACTTCTAAAACATAATATATTCTGTTTTTATTTTGTTGTTTAACAATAAAAAGAAGCTAACGCTGTTGCATCGTTTGTTTGAAGTGATTTTGAATTAAATTCGCTGCCGGGAAAGTGCACGAAAGAAAATATTGACAGAGTCAGAGAGTTTGACAAGGTACTCAAGATGAAATATAAAGTTTTTTTTCAATAAGTCATTTGCTCATACTATCAAAAATATTTTCTTGACTTGATGTTTGATCTTGAATTGAAGTTCACAGGAAATAATCGTCAAACTTATGAGCGAAAACATTGCATCTTTTCAACAACAACTCATAAAAATAGTACTTGAGCTCAGTTTCCTGTATTTCTTACCACTGTCTTCCTCAAAAACTACTACTGCATAATGATTATTGTTGCATCCGTAGCTTTCTTGACAACGTTTTCCAACTTTTTCATGTCTCTGTTTCGATGGTGCAATTCGTGATATTTTTCCCGCTTAAGGACGTTCGAGGGCATTGCTACTGCGCACGCTTTCTGCGCACGCCCAAACCGGAAGTTGTCACGAAATTGCATCACGCAAAAAAAAGATGGCGACCGCTCTTGTTTTGTGTTTATGAGGTTTTGTACGTACTTTTCTGAACTTCTACTTGAATGAATAATGTCTTCGTGTTCAAAAAATGAGAGATTTACTACTGCTAAAGAATTGATGAGGCGAAAAAGTGTTCAAAATGCTCTAAAAAGTCGTAGATTGGCAGAAAAAAGTCTCTCGCAATTCAAGATGGCCTGCAAAATCTAAGATTTCGACACGAAATATTTCGACAACGAACCCGGTAACCCCAATTTCTATTTATCTTAAAAGAAGGCTACTTGGAAAAAATATAACATATGTGAAAGCGGAAAAAACGACAACAGAGGTTTCTGAAATATAGCAGTTTTAGCTGGAAATGACACCTATTCTTGACGTCGAATGTGGCGTCCTTACACGAACAAAAGTCCTAAAGAAATCAAAAATCACATCATGAAATGTTTCAAAGTCTCGTAAACAATATTAACAATTATCGCCCTCAGCTTTTGTGGAAAAATTTGGATCAATTGATATGTGTTTTATATTTTTCGGGAAGTTTTTTGGTAGACGGCATCGACCCCTTTTCGCGCGCTTTTCTTTGACAATTTTGGTGATTTTGTGCAAGAATTATCTCTAAAGTGAAGCCGGTGACCTCCACTTTTTTATCGCTTTTTTGCAAGTTTATGTCATCGCGTATTTCCCCAAAAAATTTCATCGAATTGACATCACGGAATCCAATGCCAATGAACGTCCTTAATCCACTTTTTCGTGAAATTATATGCGATTAACAAAGAAAATTTTTGCTTCTTGCAAAAGACAATCGTCGTTGAAACAGCATTCGCCTTTTCCATAGTAAATACAGCAAAAAATGAAAAGTAAAGTTACAATTAAACTGTGGAAAAAGAGATTTCAACGGATGTGCTCGTTTTTTCCTTTTTTTTTCCTTGACCTGATGATGCGTGCGGCGCGCAGATTTGTGGGAAGCATCTGGGGAGGTCCATAAATTAATAAATCTGAACACAAGTAAGCGCCGTCCTTGAGGCCGAAGACTTACGGTTCGGCCTTCGGCGTCAAGGACGGCGCTTCGCGCCGTAAATAAAATACAAGAACGAGTAAATCCAGCCTCTGGTTCCTAGGGTACGCAGGCTCAAGTTTACAGGAAAGTGAGTGACTGACTTAGTGAGTGACAGATTCCTCACCCTCCAATAACTCTTCGAATGCTTCAGCAAAAGTAAAATATTGATTTTCCTAAAGAAATGTATGGGAAAATAGAACTGGAGAGCAAGAAGCCTTGCTCTCCAGTTCTGTTTTTGCATATGTTTCTTTAGAAAAAAAAAGATTTTATATTTGCTCTCAATTTTAAAATATTTAGTGTTGACACTTGAGACTTTGCCATTTTACCAACATAAACCTGCTCTTTCCGTTTCTGAGCATCATTATTCGATAGCTGATTGATTTAAGGTAGGTTTGGTCACGTGACCCCCAGCTGCAAAGGGCCTATTGATTTTAGAAACACTGACGCAGCTCACACTAGTTAACTGCTAGTTTCCACCATTTTAATTGACAAAAAGAAAGCAGGATGAAAACGAATTTATAATAAACTTTGTATTTATTCTGAACAATGAAATTGTACTATTCATGATTTTCAAAGTCGAGTGAAGAATACAGTCAGTTAGGCATGGGCCTAACCTAACTTATGCCTAACTGACTATTTCCTTCACCCGAATTGGAAAATGACTACCGAAGAGGCTGTATCAAGTATAGTTTACAACATGAGCGGCCGTGTTGTATGGGAATTGCAATCTCGTGCCACAGGCGAGAGATTGTAATTCCTATACAACACAGGTCGACGCGAATGTTGTAAACAACTTATAACACTCCAACACTAATTAACATGAATTGCAGTGAGATAAATGACGAAAAATGACAAATAACTTAACTGCTGAGTTTAGTCACTATTAAGCATGCGCAATTTACTCTAACACAGAACATTTTGAATAATTATCCATCCCACATGGAAAAGCAAGCCATCTGTTTCATAAAACAGTTCTGTTATCTGTCTTTGATTGCTTCAAAACCTAGTGAAGGTATATGATGCGATACTAAAACTGAGACCTTTGCTAGTGTTGGGTTGTCTCAATGGTGATGACCGTGTTGTAAATCTGATAGAACACTAGTGTTATATCCGATTTACAAGGTCAATCACCTGATTAAATGGACAGCCCTTATTGAAGTAATAGGTCATGCATTATTAAGTGATATTTAAAAAACTCGTAGTTCGTGTTTATATCCACGATAAAACACGAACTACGAGTTTTTTAAATGACTTCTAAAACCCAAACCTAARAAAYTAMAATAAACATGAAATAAATAAAAAAATATCAAAAATGAATRATTGATGAAGATATCTCCATCTGAGCATGACCAGTAATCAACTTGGTTTCCCACATCCAAGCGCCACTATGTTTTAGTGTACTGTGACTCTGCAAATAAGTAATTTTAACTCGAGACCTAGTGAAATTCTATGATGAGAGTCTAAAACTGAGAACTTTTCTAGTGTTGTGCATACATCGAGTGTCTGTAAATCAGTTACAACACTGATGTTTTATGCATGAGTGTTATAACTAACTGAACCGGTTAGTTATAAAACTCATGTTTAATTAATCAGTGTTTATAACTTGAGTTATAGATCCTGTCATGTGACCCATAGTTGAATGCTCATTGGAAGAATGTCTAATGAATAATTCATGAGTTTTAGAAAAAGTTTTATAAGCTTATTTATTAGAACGTATTCGCATAACCCACTTTTTATATGCTAATGAGTTTGCTAATATTCTAATGAGATTRGCACAAGAAACAAAAGAGCAAAAACATACTTGAGTGATTTCAGTAGCGAATATTATTTCAAAACTATTTTGAGCTCAGTTCAATAAATGCAAAATTTCAAAAGGAAACATTTTTATTTAAGCTATACAGCTATCTCAACTTCTCGTAAACTACATGCAAGTAATTAGATTAGACGCGGCAAAAGATTGACGTCTGAAACGGACCTCATTGTCCAGAATTGGTTTTGATTCTAGTATCGACGGGTTGTGGAAGTCTGCAATGCTTGTTTTATAATTCTTCCCATGCGCCCAATTTATTTAAAACAATTTAAATCAACATTATGAACCGCTTAAAACAAACGATCTGTTGGCATTCAAAATAAGGAATTTTCAATCTTGTAGCCAATAACTGTTGAAATTGTTTATTTTAATATTAAAATTTTAATTTAATTTAATTTAATTCAATTTGCCACACCAAGAACGAAGAATTACATAATAAAWCAATATACGAAACAATAAGCGATACGATACAGGCAGGAGATGAAGACAGGGCAGGGCCCCAATTGATTATCAACCCCTAAACACAAGTGTAAAAAATTACAACAGTAACAAAAAGCCATGGCGAAATAAATAAATGAATAAATAAATAATGATAAAAAAAGTGAAATATATATATATATATATATAAGTCAACTAAGGCGGCTGGTAAGTGTTCAGCTTATCTAAGTAGAGCACAGAGAGCTGAGATTTGAAGGCTGAGACGCTCGGACTGTGTTTAATGTGGTGAGGCAGACTGTTCCAGAGGCGAATAGTTCTAGGAAAGTACGATTTTGTATAGTAGTTCTGGCGATGTGAAGATAGAAGGCGTAGATTCCCAGGGTCGGAGTTTCTGGTGTTATATGAGGAACAAACTGGCGAGAAGAAGTCATTGAAGTTGGTATTGACCAGACCGAGCCTATGTTTAAACAGTAAAACTAGGTCATTGATATCTCTGCGAAACTCTAACGGTAGTAATTTGAGCTGCACTAGCCTATCCCTATAGCTTATCTCCCTGGGAGGGTAGTTGAGGATGAACTTCGTTGCTCGGCGTTGAATGTTCTCGATTAATGCGCGATGTTTGATGGTGTAGGGTGACCATACACAAGACGCGTATTCCAATACTGGTCTGACCAGGGCTGAGTAAAGCAGCTGCCTAGTCTGGACATCGCACAAGTCTCTTCCGCACACTCTCTTGACCAACCCAAGAACACGATTTCCCTTGGCGCACATCTCTTCGATGTGAGAGACCCACGACAGCTGATTGGTAACAGACAAGCCCAGGTCGGAGGTTTCCAAGACGGAAGTTAACTCTTTGGCGTCAAGCTTGTAGCTGTGCAGAGGCCCCCTGCGCGACTTCCGTTTAGACATATGCAGGACTTTGCACTTTTTGTAATTAAACGCCATGCCGTGGTCAATGCTCCAGTCGTGTAAGCTATCAAGGTCCGCCTGTAGCGAGGCGGAAGAACTTACAGAGTCGATAGTGTGGAATAGTTTACTGTCGTCAGCAAACAGAGCCAGAGTGGACCCGTGGTGGATATAACTTGGCATGTCGTTGACGTAGGCCAGAAACAATAGGGGGCCTAGTATGGAGCCTTGTGGCACCCCTGAGGTAACTGGGTGCCAGTCAGAGACAACTCCCTCAAGGGCAACACATTGAAGCCTGTCCGTCAGGTAGCTCACAAACCACTGTAGGAGGGGACCTGACACGCCGTACTGCTGGAGTTTGAGTAGCAAGAGATCGATAAGATAAGATAAGATAAATGTTTCCGTTTAAAATTGTGTATTTATTGAACTGAGCTAAAAATAGTAATATTTTTAAATCAAATGTTCTATTATACGAATGATAAATTATATGCAAAACAAGAACAACTGTATCCCCCTGTTAGCAATTGACCTCTGAACCTTTTACGTCACTACTTGATTTTCAATGCATTTTGGGATCAATTTCAAGAGAAAACAAAAGAAATCCACCATGTTTTGTCCCAAACATGTCCTACAATGCATTGCGTATACGGTACATGACGTAAAAGCTGCAGAGGTCTATTAAGAACCTACTTAAGAACCTGTTTTGCCAAAATTACCAACAACTACCCCCTAAAACAAGAACCTTATATGCCAGACTTTCAAAAAATAAGGTTCTTATTTTCAGTTGTTTACTGTATTGCTATTATAGTATTATGTCAATCTAAAATATCTGTACATGGCAGATGGCAGTGATATGTCATATGTATACACTTGTGCTATAGTCTCAAACAATTCTGGGAAATAAAAGAAGCCAAACTCTGAGAACTTCATAAGCATATATGGATAATACATTTGACGAAGTTTAAGTGCCCCACCCTTGACAATAGCAAGTGCACATTCATTTGCAGGATACCAGTACATTTTTTCATGGTTCTTAAAATGATTCTTGCCTGGAGTGTCTATTGGCCCTAATACACACATTGTGATGGATATTTTATTATGCCCTGAAAGAATTAAGTCTTGTCGAAGACTGTTGAAGAAACCATGCAAGGCATGTTTAGTAGCACTGTAGCAAGTCTCCTTTGCAAATCCTGTAGTGCCCGCTAGGGAGGATACAACTATAATACTACCATTGGACTTCTTGAGTTGTGGTAAAAACAGTGTAGCAAGGTTGATATAGCTTATTGTATTAACTGCAAAATGACCAGGTACTTTCGACAAATCATTGTTAATAACCCAGTTCTTAGAGAACTGTGCAACGTGATTTAATATAAGAATGTCAATGTTTGATACAAGTTCAAGCGTCTTTGAATGCACTTTCTTCGCTTCCTCAAGACTTGACAGATCAGCAACAATGTAGACAGCTTGATTTGCTTTAATCTTATTACATTTCGACACAACTCTTTGTAGTTGTTGTTCTCGTCTTGCAATCAGTATCACTGTAGCTCCAAATTTGCAGTACTGAATAGCAAGCTCTTCGCCAATTCCAGACGAACCACCAGTTATCAGTACCTTCTTTCCTTCAAGAACACCAGAGTCAAAGGTATCCCTTAAACACCAGGCTATTACAACAAAAACAACACAGCCAAGAAGGGCTACAAAACGCACAGAAACCGCCATTTTGTTGCAGGAACACAGGGAATCCAAAAAATATTTTCAGCGAGGGAATATTAAACAGCCATAAATCACTCATTATTACAGTAAATGGCCTGAAACTTCAAAGAGAGGCAAAGAGAAACTCAACAGACTGGTAAAAAATTATTTGTTTTTATTTCATTCTATACATTTCGTAATATTGTCAAAAAGAACACAAGCTCTGTAGCTACCTGTGGCTGGGCTTCCTGTGCCTGAAAGCTCTGGAGAAATACTACTCGGTAAAAGACCCTGGGAAGTGCTGGTTACCATTCGTGGCGCAATAATGCACTAGAATTGCTTGAGCTATTTGTCTGAATACTTTTTACTTTAATTTCCGTAGCCTTCTACTCTTAACGCGCGACGCAGTATCTGAAATAAGGACAGTAATGTATGCCGCTCAGCATTATGGGATAGGGTAATCCCCGTCTGGTTCCGTTCGTTCCAAAAATCTCAGACTTGATATTCTCTTGTCGTTGTTTCTTCTTGCAAAGACACATGAACTGGAATAGAAGAAGAAAGTAGAAATGGATTATCTTGAACCCAGGCATGACTCGGAGAAGATTGATTTGGCGTTTATTGTTGACTGTACGGGATCAATGGGATCTTACATCAAGCAAGTACAGAAACACGTCCAGTACATAGCAGAAACTATCGCTCGAACTTCCTTTGACGTTCGACTGGCTCTGATTGAGTACAGGGACCATCCACCTCAAGATAGAAGCTTTATTACACGCATTCATGATTTTACCAGTGACGTTAAAGAGATGAAAACATGGGTTGATCAAATGGCGGCTAGTGGTGGAGGCGACTGGCCTGAAGCTGTAGCTGATGCTCTTCAACTAGGAACTCGACTCAGCTACAGAAAACAGTCTACAAAGATGTGTGTTTTAATTGGTAAAGGCATTAAGTAAAGATACGTATGAATAGATGCTGTCATTGGTTGATTACTACCTTAAGCAATGTGTCAATACTGAATAGTTAGGCTGATAACACTGTATTAATTAAGCTTAAAATACTTTGTCTTACCCCACATTCAAAGAGCACCTCAGTAAATACAAGTGAATGTTTGAAATAGAAAACCATTATCAAAGGGTTTTCTAATAGTAATAGTGTTTATGGTTTATGTTTATGTTTTTACAGCTGATGCACCTCCCCATGGACTAGATGAGAATGGTGATGGATTCCCCGATGGTTGTCCCAAGGGTCATGATCCTCTAGCAGCCTGTCATCTTATGGCTCAAAAGGGTATCGTCCTATACTGCATTGGCTGTGAACCCAGTGTTGATGCATTCAGAGATTTCTTGATTGGCCTTGCTCATATTACAGGAGGTCAATATGTCCCCCTCAGACAAGCCAAGACTTTGACTAAGGTACATATTGAGATAAGCATTGTTTCGATATCAATGTTGTTCAGGTTTTCAATAGAGAGTTTTTGATTCACGTTTACTGCAAACACCAAACGTCATATTGGCCTTTATGCATGTCTCAAAATGTCAAACAAACATAAAAGCGCTTGAAAAGGAATAGTGATGCGCATATGCACAAAAAAGTTATCTATTTTATACACAATCGCGAAAGAATGGAGCATTACAGCAGAAACCTTTGCATCGCGACTTCGATGTTCAAAGAAAACAGTTGGGGTTTAGGTTTTTCTGCGACTTGGGGGCGGAGCTTGATACTAATCAATGATTGAACGAGTTTTCGAAAAGCTCCGCCCCTCAGATTGAAAGARAGAACAAAATYCAGACRAACTTCAAAACAAAGAAGTCGCGATGCAACGATTTCCGCTGTAATACAGAAAAATAGTGATCACATGATCAATTTTGATGTCTGGTGTTCACTGTAAACCCATATCTAAAACTCTCTAATATACTTCAAAGTGTCCAATATACCCAATCAAGTTCGTTTTGGAAAGAGCAAAAACAAAGTTATTGATCAAAATTTCCTCGTTAGCTGTATGTTAGCTTAGCATTTGATTTAGGTTTAACAATGAAGTTAACAATTTTTGCACTCCTTTGTAGAAAATCCTGGGGATTCCCCCTTCACTTTCACACATTTCTTCCTCCTTCCCACTTCTCTTCTCCTTCCCTTCCCACTTCCCTTCTCCTTCCTCCTTCCCTTCCCACTTCCCTTCTCCTTCCTCCTTCCCTTCCCACTTCCATTCTCCTTCCTCCTTCCCTTCCCACTTCCATTCTCCTTCCTCCTTCCCTTCCCACTTCCATTCTCCTTCCTCCTTCCCTTCCCACTTCCCTTCTCCTTCCTCCTTCCCTTCCCCATTTCCTATCCTTCTTTCCTTTACCTTTCTTCTTCCCTTCCTCTTTTCCTCTCAGTTGAAATCAAATTGCCCATGACTTAATAAGAATCCTATTTGAACATAAATAAAGAATCCATCAATCTAATAGTCATTTATCAAATATTTAGGTGATAATCAGTGCTGCTCAGGAGGAAGTCTCGTTGGAGAAGTTGATGGGCCACGCAACAGATTTTGTACATCTTAAGATGATAGAAATGAAACATAAAAAGACGAATGTGAAAGTGGATGATTTAGCAAAAGAATTTCACGACAAGCTGAGATTAACAGGAATCAAGAGTGATGCTCTGCAAATGAATGACAAACCCCTGGACCCCGTTACACCAGATGGTAAACAATACAGTCACATGAAAAAAATGAGTGAAGCCAAGGCATTCTATAAGTCAAAGAAGAACCCTAGAGGAAGATACCATGGAAAATTAGGGAACAGTGATGGTTCTGTTGTCATTAATCAACACATGGAAATTTCTGAGCCTCAAACTGAAAGGTTGTTGAAAAGAGCAATAGCAATAAAGAAACTGCCAGTTACTTATGATGAGAACAAAGAAATGGTTATAACCCATGATACAATCCCAGACAAACTATAATCAAACAAACAATCAGCACTCATCAAGTAAGGAACTATGGGGCCATCATATCATCTTAATTCTATGGTAGAAATGTTTTGGCAGCCTTTACAGGATGAGTAATTTTGAAGGTGCTCTTAATAAAAATATGTCTTGTAAAATTAATCGTACCTAAGCAACATATGCAGTACCTCACAAAAGGAGCTTAAAAATTTATAATGACTTTATAGTTAAGACATCCAAATTACCGTTACAGTGAAACCTTGCATAAGAACCTGGATTTTTCCCAACTCATTATTTAAAGTCAGGTTCTTAAATGGGGTTTTTAATCTTAGGCAAGAAAACGATTACTTGTGTTGATGGGTGTGGCATTTAATGCCAAATAATTGTACCAGGGTCCGTGCAGGTCCTTAAATCCTTGAAAAGTGTTTGAATTGAAAACTTGTTTTCAAGGGCACTTGAAACTCCTTGAAAATTTGATAATTTCGAAAAAGTCCTTGAAAACTCCTTGAAAAAGATGGATCTCTATCACGAAGCGCTAGCGATCTCTGAATTATTCCGTTCAGCTGAAGTTTTGAGGTAAGAATGTACAATTAGCATGATTTTGATGCTCCTTGAAAATACAATTTTGGTCCTTGAAAAAGTCCTTGAAAAGTCCTTAAATTTCGTTTTTGATACTCTGCACGGACCCTGATGTACACTGGCTAGTAGATAATAATAACTTGATTATGAATAGTACACTGTGATAGAATTCTTGAAGTGCTAGACTGTATTTAAAACAATTTATTAGTGCAGTGATGTACAGCTTTTTCACCTTTTCAATGAATGGCAGCCATGTGTCTTGTCGACAAGCTGCAAGGATCATAAACCAACAGGATAGTGATATTCTGGAAATTTTTTTATTGGCACCTGTTTGTATATTTTCAAGGGAGTCAGGATGATTGTTGGAAGGTGTGCAAAAAAGACGAACTCTAGTTCATTCAATCAAATTTTATTACAAATTTGATTGAATTGATGAAGAACAATTGCCAGCTTTCATAAAATTGGGTACAAGTTTTAAAATTGCACAAATCGGTGTGTGACCTGCATAATCTGAAAGAGCAAATCCAGCTTTAAGTTCTTAGTGTGGCTGCCATCGCAGTTATTGCTAGGGTTTTCGAAACGGGTACAATAAACCAAGCCAACATATGCACAGATTCGCTCTTTTATTGGCACGTAGTTAAGTATCGTAAAACTATAAAATAATTAAAACATAAACTAGAATTACTAAACAATCATGTACAAACAATAGATCTTGAGATTGGCTGTATTCTTGCAGTATAAAATCAAATAAATCATACCTTGTCTAGCACTTAACTTGTTATTAGGAAAAGAGGACGCTACCGTGTTGACACAAGATTATCTATCTACTAAATTTAATAATTAACTAAAACACCATGACGACAGTCACACTTAGATAGTCATCTGAACTAAACCAAACTTGGGGATATTATCAATTTTGATGTCCTCTTCAAGATGATATAGGTAACTTGGCACTTTTTGCAATTTTAAAACTCGAATCCAGACTCCTGCTCGGACATGAAAGCTCGCAATAACACTTTTTCAGCACAGGCAGCCCAGACTAATCACAGTATTTAGAATGAATTTATTTGTAAAATGTTTATTCTCCATAATCTTGTAATTGTATCCATAAAAAATTGAAAATAAAGTTTAATGTATAAAAACCTGCATTGTCGAATTAGCTTAGAAATGGTACAGCAAGACTTTGAATAACAAGCAGCATACAGTATCAAGAACACAGACACAATCATGCACTTAGAACAGTTTATAACTCTTGGTTCCTGCCTTTTTCACATAAACAAACAGTACAAATTGTTACTAAAAATGGTTACATGTAACAGTACAAGCCCACTTCATTCTTCAGCTAAGAACATATTGATGATTCCACTATCTCGAACCTCGTCTTATGGTGATCGATGTTTTGAATATGCTGCTCCGTGTCTCTGGAACACTCTACCTGAAGAAGTCAAGAACCAGCCTTCTCTAGCAAAATTTAAATCCAAGACTCATCTTTTTCCCAAATAAGAACACCATAACTTTTTGAATTTTGTTTTAAAAATATTGTGAAATGTTTTTCTAGTTTCTAATTTTTATATATTTATTATGTATATTTATATATATGTTCCTGTACAGCGCACTGAGACTATGTATAGTGCGCTATACAGTTGTATAAGCATTTTCTTTTATTATCATTATTATCTGGGTGATTGATTTGCGACCAGGCCTGCATATGAATTCGCCAAGGTTGTAAGCCAGTGAGCCGTGCATTTTTGTTAAGCGGTCATATCTGAAAGTGTAAATAAAGAAAAGGGAAAACCCGCAGCTCGCCTTTCACTCAGACAAAAAATACAAGTCGTGTTAAATTTATTTACATAGCTAAACACCATTACATGACTATGACTTTGAATTAAAGTCGAAATATTGTATTCGCTCTTCAGACTCGTTTCTTAATCCAAAATTTGGGTTTCCTAAACGATGTTTTCTTTCCTCGGAATTGTAATCATTTCAATGTATCTCAAACTGTCGGATCGACATGGATTCTAGCTAAACAAAATGATTATAGAATTAAACCTTTAAGAATTGAGTGCTCATATGAAACATTTTCCACCTTAAATACACACGTGTTTTTCAGAAGGGAATTTAGTCGATCTGTTTTCACGATGGAATTTTGTTTTGAGTCGTTTCGACATAAACAGAAGCTATCAAGCCATTACACGAAAAACCCCAGTCACCGTTCTAGCTCTCGTTGTAAGGTCAAAGCTAGTAAATGTGTAACTGACCTGTTACATAACGTCAAATCGTCGAGCACGCTTGCGGCTTATTGCCGAAAATGCGACAAAGGATGAACTACGACAGTTGTTTGTACCACAAATAACAAACGAATACGTGGACCTAACTAAGCTGCTCTAGCTCTTCCAGTGATGTTGTAGATACCTCAAAGCTTAGAGGAAACAAGAGCTAAGAAAAAGGATTTGAAATGGTTCCTCCTAAGATACTTTGTACTTGAACATCGCTTCTGACGACCTTCTGAAGTCTTCGTGAAGTCGGCCATTGCTTCGCATGCAATGGAGAACCCGCGTAGAACACAGAACAATTATTTTTATCAGGGAGGGGAGTCCCGTGGTATTAAAGAAAAAATTATTTGGTATTTCATTTTTAAGATAAAATTCTATTTCTATAACGATAAATATTTGATTGACATTTAAAAGCTATTTTATAAAGATTTTCAATTTCTCTTTGCGTTTTAGCTTCGATTTTTCGGATAGAATAAAATGACAGGCAGCCTACTCCACTGGGTCGAGTTTTGCTGTGCAAATTCCTCCCGTCGGAGGGTTATGTTTACAACATAAGCTTGTCAGCTTTGCGCTGATTGGCTAGTCGCATTTTCTCAAATCACCCAG